CTCTGCTCCCACTGTGACACGCAGGAAAGCACGGGGGACAATGACAGGGGGCTGGGGTGTCAGGAGGGCGGGCGCTCACGGGACACGTGGACACACTGCTCTCACAGGACATGGGGACACGCTCTGCTCCCACTGTGACACACAGGAAAGCACGGGGGACGATGACAGGGGGCTGGGGTGTCAGGAGGGCGGGCACTCACGGGACACGCTCTGCTCTCACTGTGACATGCAGGAAAGCATGGAGGACAGTGACACGGGGCCGGGGTGTCAGGAGGGCGGGCACTCACGGGACACGCGGACACGCTCTGCTCCCACTGGGTCATGCTCAGACTGTCCTCCAGGCTCGTACACTTCTTCATCGTCACGTCCCAGCCGCAATACGGGTCCTGGGCCCCGAGGCAGGCGCTGTAAACACACCCCACCCTGGGTCAGGAGGAAGCAGCTCTCCCCGGCCCACCCCTGCATTCACATGCACAGGTGGTGATGGATAGACCGTTTGTACATAGCTCCTTCTATCTGAAGGAGCCCTGGTAGCCAAAGGGTGGTGGTTCAAACCCACCCAGTGGCTCCAGGGAAGAAAAGACCCAGTAATCTGTTCCCATAAAAATCAGAGCCTCAGAAGCCCCCCAGGGCAATTCTCCTTAGTCCTACAGGGTCACTGTGAGTCCAAATTGACTCGACTCTGTTCAACAACAACTGGTAGTTCCCATTATCTAACTTTTGAAGTTTTGTAAAGTCTTCCTGCCTCTTGTAAGTTTCCAAGGTGTTAAACATGGCAGCAAAATTTAACAGCCATTTGGACTCTCTTGGATATGGCAGTGACCTCCAGTTACTGCCTTTTAAATGAACAGACACCTTCATACAAATGGTCCCTTTATTCTACTGAATTGTTTTCTCAGGGAAATTCCAAGCAGTAGCCTCCGGATCTTGAAGCATGGGTCTGTCCATGGCGGGGACTCTCTGTGGCCATACTCCTCTCCCATAGGACTGAGCCTCCCACGTCAGCCTGTGTACCATGGCCACGCCCAACAGCTGTGCAGACTGGACCCCAGGAGACAGCACGTGAACCAGCCCTCACAGGAAGAAACGAGGGGCGGTGACCTCCCAATAACCTTCCTCTGACCAAGTGAGCAGACCAGACACACACTGACTTTCACATCAGCCTTAGGTGTCAAAGGCTTTCAAGGTGAGAGCTTTAACGATCACTCGTTGTTGTTGTGGCCGGCAGGTGCTGTTGAGTCGGCTCTGACTCACCGTCGCCCTGTGAATGGCCGACAGACACACCGCGGCCCGGTCCTGCATCGGCCTCACAAGCCTTGCTGTGCCTGAGCCCATGGCCGCAGCCACCGCGTCTACCCAGCTTGTTGAGGGTCTGCCTTTTGTTTGCCGCCTCTCTAATTTCTCAAGCATGGTATCCTTCTCCAGGGACAGACCACTCCTGACAACATATTCACAGTATGTGAGATGAGGCCTGGCCAGCCTCCCTTCCAAGGAGCACCCCAGTTGTACTCTTCCCAGACACATTTCTTTGTTCTTCTGGTAGCCTATGGTATAGTCAATATTCTTCACCAACAGCACAATTCAAAGGCATCAAGTCCCCTCCTTGGGTGTCCGAGGTGGTATCACTATGGAAGCAGATCGCCCAACTTCCTTCTGAGCTCCTCTGCAGCTTCCTTGTCCGCTGTCCAGCTTTCACACGCGTGTGAGGCCATGAAAAGACCATGGCTTGGGTCAGGCCCACCTTAGTCCTCAAAGTCATGTCTTTGCTTCGTAACACTCCAAACAAGTCTTTTGCAGCAGGTCTGCCCAGTGCAACACGACGCCTCATTTCCTCACTGCTGCTTCTCGGGGGTGTTGACTGTGGGTCCAAGCAAAATAAAATCCTTGACAACTTCAGTTTTTCTCCACTTACTGTGATGTTGTTTGTTGGTCTGGTTACGAGGATTTTTGTTTTCTTTACATTGAGGTATAATCCATACTGCAGGCTGTACTCTTTGATCTTCATCAGTAAGTACTTCAAGTTCTCTTCATTTTTAGCAAGCAAGGTTGTGTCGCCCGCATATCCCAGGTTGTTAATGATTCTTCCTCCAATCCTGATGCCACACTCTTCATCATGGAGTCCAGCTTCTGGGATTACTTCCTCAGCACATAGATTGAGTAAATATGGTGAAAGGACCCAACCCCGATGCACTCCCTTCCTGGTTCTCAACCATGCAGCATCCCTTGTTCTGTTCCAGTGACTGCCTCCTGGTCTATGGCCAGGTTCCTCATGAGCACAATGGAGTGCTCTGGAATTCCCATCCTTCTCAATGTTATCCATAATTTGTTTTATCCACACAGTCGAATGGCTTTGCATAATTAATAGTTAAGAAGTAGACTATCATAACTGCTCGGATGTTCTTGTCACCCCACTATTGTGTGTAGTTATCTTAACCATGGTAGTTGCTATGAGAACAGATATACACACAAGAACCTAACTGGACACTGCAGACACAACTGAGGAGTGAGGCTTTGCTTACTTAAACAGCTTCCCTAAAATGTGCGAAGGCCACGTTTCCTGCACGGCATTTATTCCCATCATCACAGTGGTAGTGGTAGCTCTCAGGTTACCTGTTTGGGAATTATAATTGCCCTACTTCCAGAAGAACGAACAAATGAGCCTCAGAAGAAAGAAGCCAGATGAGCTTTCAAATGAGGATGGTGAGATTTTGTCTGGCTTATTTTGGACACATCATCAGGAAAGAGATTTGTGTGTTCTTCTGGTGGTCCATGGTGTATTCACTATTCTTCACCAACACCGTAATACAAATGCACCGATTCTTCTTCATTTACTGTATCCATTTTTGAAACATCTCAATTGGTAGTCAGTCAATTCCTCGTGCCTTGTTTTTCACCAATGCCTTCAGTGCAGCTTGGACTGTTTCCTTCAATACAATCGTGTTTCTTGATCATACACTAGCTCCTTAGACATACTCTGGACATGTTATCAGGAAAGACCACTCCCTGGAGAAGGACATCATGCTTGGTAAAGCAGAGGATTAGGGAAAAAGAGGAAGACTCTCACTGAGATAGAATGACTGCGTGGCTGCAACAGTGGGCTCAAGTGTGGCAGTGACTGTGAAGATGGAGCAGGCCCAGGCAGGGCTTTATTCTGCTGTACACGGGGCTGCTGTGGGTTGGACCTCACTTGGCAGCACCTAACAACAAAGAACATCAGGAAAGACCAATCCCTGGAAGAGGATATCATGTTTGGCAAAATAGAGGGTTACTGAAAACGAGGGAAGCCGTCAGTAAGATGGATCAGCACCAATAGGAACAGCAATGGACTCCAACACACCAAGGACTGAAGACCGCCTGGGACCAGGCAGTGTCTCACAGAGGAGGCTGCCACGGGTTGAAGCTCACTCAACAGCCACTTACAACAACAATGGGGCGATTCTCAAGATGGTCTGACATGCCTCATTCCCAAGCACAGGGACTACATACTTGAGAATTGATTCTTTGACTTTAAGAGCTGCCTCAACAACATCAGCATCCTGGAAACATGGCTGAAAACTACTCCAAGTAGACAGTGACACTCCCGAGGGGTGTGCTCAGAGAAGTCTTGGAGTGCTTCCGCTCCTAAATCCAACTGGAACACAGACTTTCTTGGGTTTCCTCTTCTGCAAAACCGGAGCAACAATCCCAAAGTCACAGGGCTGTCTGGAGATTAGATTATATCATACATTACCTAAGGAGAATCACTTTGCTACCATGGGCGGAGATGACCGCACACAACAGCAGTGTGACCAGAAACCTTGTGTGGTCACGTTCCCTTGAAGACTAAGGTGCGCCCAACCCAAGCCACGGTATTTTCAGTTGCCTTGTATGCATGCAAAAGCTGGACAGTGAATAAAGTAGACTCAAGAATAACTGATGCCTTTAAATTATGGTGCTGGCAAAGAATATTAAACACACGATGGGCTACCCAAAGAACGAACAAGTCAGTTTCGGAAGAAGCACAGCCAGAATGCGCCTTAGAAACAAAGATGATAAGGCTTTATCTCGCACACTTTGGACGCTTTGTCAGGAGGAACCAGTCCCTGGAGAAGGGCATCATGCTTGGCACAGTAGAGGGTCAGCGCAAACGAGGAAGACCGTCCACAAGACGGACTGACACACTGGCGGCAACGGTGGAGTCAAGCAGAGCAATGACTGTGAGGGTGACACGGGACCGGGCAGTGCATTGTCCTGCTGTACACGGGGCTGCTGAAGGCGAACTGCCTGACGGCACCTAACAACAACAACAACAATTAATCCTTAAAGATAAATGTAGGTTACTGTACGTTTTAGACTGCTGGAGAAATCTTGAACAATACAGAAAGTGCTAATACGGAGTCCACAGGCTGTTTGTTTAATAAAGCAATGTGAGACACATGACGTCTGGTGTGCAACGCATTTCAGCCGCACGTTCCGATCAATTAGGAAACCCCGCTTTGATTTGTGTGCCAGGTGCAGGAGCACGAGCTGGGGACACAGGGAGAACACAATGAGCTCGGAGTCTGGGGAGGGCGGAGGGACGCCTTCATGGCCACTACTTAGTCACACAGCAAGCAGAAGACACACTGGCTGCCATGGACTCCACTCTGCCTCATGGCAGCCATGTGTGTCACAGCACAACTGGGGGCTGGAGGATTTTCAACGGCCGATTTTCAGAAATAGCTCACTGGGTCTTTCTTCAAGGTGCATCTGGATGGACTTGAACCTCCAACGTGCTAGTTAGGAGCTGAGAATGTTAACTGTTTGCACCACCCAGGGACTCCAGCTATACAGTATAGCAAGAGATGAGTAAGAAAGAAGCCCAACCAAGCAGTGCTACAGGAATTGGAGGAGAGAGAAGTGACCAGGAAGGGGTCCCAGGAAGAGGTGAGGTCTTAGGTGGCTTTCTAGGAAGGGTGGGGTTCTCTAAGTGAGTAGAACGTTCCTGGCTGTGATGACCCCAGGAAGGATGGCATGAAGGTCATGTGAACATTCCAGGATCAGTGGCAAAGAGCAGAGCCACTTGGCTGGTTTCAACAAAGTGTGATGATGTGAATGGAATGTTGAGGTGTCCCTTAAGTGAGAGAAACGTGGCCATGGGTGTGTACGAGGTGAACATTAGGAAAACCCACCACAAGTTCCATTTGTAACTCCAAGAAGCACTGAGGTGCAGCCCCAATTGTAATAATGTGATTTCAAGCTGGGATGCACACCAACTCAAGGCGGGATCTCGACTAAATGACGGCTGTTTATCCTCAGCCTGCAGGCCTCACTGACAGCATTCAATAATTCACGTTATGTGCCATAATGTGCAGATGACGACATTGTAATATATTGAAATGCACTCACGATGGCTTATCACAAAGTGACATTGATTTTAAATACAG